GGGAGGCGGGCGGAAGCCTCTGGCTGCGGGGCCCTCCGGTGCGTTCGCAGCGCGTTCTGCCGGGGCCGCGTTGTGACCCGCGTACCCTTCTTGTTGCAAGGGGCTGCCGGGAGGCGTTCTCGGGGCGTTTTGGAGAGCGAGCCGCTGGAGAGGCGTTGCTGGCGGAGGTAAGCGTGGGCGCTGTTTCCCCGTTTCTCCCTTCCGCAGGAAGCGAGGGGGTCGCGACTCTGGTGCGAGGTGGGGGAGCCTCGTGTTTCTGGCTTTTTTTGCCTCGTTGCTTTGTTTGCTATTCCTGCGTGCATATTTTCCTCAGTAGGGCCTGTTTTGGAAAGAAAAATGTAATCTTTCAGCTGTGAAATCTCTCATGTTGTGCTGCTTTCTCATATACAAGTCTGTTGCTTGACTGTGCTGGATGCCCCCCGTAAAAGGTCATCAGAGCATCCCTAATTGCAAGCTTTTAAAAACGATAACCCAGAACCTTTTTTTTTTTTTTTTTTTTAAACTATCATAAGCTTCCATTTCTCACTCAGTCACACATAAGATTTCTAATGGTCATTTCCATTCTTTAGGTGTTTCCACTTTTTGGTTGTTGCCACTGTGATGGTAAGCAAAAGGGATCAGATAACTGCATGGACAATATCTCCATAAAGGTCTAATAAAACAAGTCAGCAGATCTTCCATCTTGCATCCCTGATGCAGCCATTGTGGGTGCTTGGGAGCAGAGGGGAATTACAGCCCTGCCCTCCCCAGACAGTTTCTCCAGTTCCCAGTGTTGGAGGCAGACAACGGGTCTGGGTCACCCGTTGCCTGGGTCACCCTGCAAGGGCATTTCATAAGCTCTTCTGAGAGTACCAAGAGAGGGACACAGTGCTTTGTTGTATTTTGAAATACTTACTCAGTTTTACTGTTCTCTGAAAACTACTTATGTGTTTTTAACTCTCATTGTGGATAACAGCTTCACAGTTCACATTGCATTGATACAACTCTCTTGAATGCATTTCCCCTACTGGCTTCCAGATGAGGGTTTAACTGAAGGAAAATCCCTCCAGTTAGATGTTGCCTTATGGCAGTACACACTGCTGGGGGAATTTCAGTGAAGATGGGGTTTAGTTTTTTGGGGTTTTTTTATATCGAGGTAGCTTACTACCAGTACACAGAGAACTGATACGACTAGCAGAATGGTTATTTCGTGAATATCTAAAGGCTGCCATTCAAGAGATGTATGTAGATGCTATCCCTATGCCTACTTTGGTAACTAGGAAACCTAGGAGAGAGTCATGTCCTATTTCTCCTGATTTGAAATCTGAGCTGCTCTTACTCTGTAAGCTTGGCTGTGCAACAATGAAGATACCACTAATTTAGCAAGGAGATGGTGAGTAGTAACCCAAACAGGAGTATGGGGACTTACTGAGTTACCAAGGCCTGTAATCAGGCCTGCCTTCATGTCTTCACTGTTACTCTGGACTAGATCAATCAGAGCTAGAACAATTACACTTTCTCTGCTCCTGTTTCATTTTTCTCATCCCTAAAGGTGTGGTCTAGGTGACACAAGAGTAAAAGACCCCTTCTGAACTTTATGTGGGCCTGTAGAGGATTGCCTTCCTTCACTGAAAGCATAATAATAGACCCTGCAGATTTCTATCATACCTTCTAAATGCAGACAAACACAAGACACAGATTAAAGAATGAAAAGGCAAATTAAAGTTTTAAAAATCCTTAATAAATTCAGGAACTTGGAGCTTGTTTCATGTTGTGATTCTGCGTTTTTTTTTCTTTCATGTTATAATACTGCTACAATGCAGCTGCGCAACAGTGAAAACTGAGTGGTCCTTCAACTTGTGGTTCTGGAGGGGTTTTGGTTTTTAAAATCTGTAATACCTCCGCCTGCTTTCATTCAGCTTCAGAAGGGTCTCTTGTCACTGATGTTGCCTTGCTGTCCTGTCTGCGGGTTTTTTTATTTATTTAAAAAAAAAAAAGCAGCACAAGATTTGTTAAGGATTAGCACTGAGCTGCTAATGTGAGGAGGGTGATAGTTGCCAGCATCAGTTTGATATGTGATGTTTCTCTTCTGCATTCCCAAGAGAAACTTCTGGTAATGATGTCCACAGCAAACAGTACAGTATTTGAACTAGTGTTTACCTCTTTCTTCCCTTCACAGCTAGGGTGGCAAAACACAAAAGAACCTCAGCATGTCTGTAATTCAGCAAGGGACGGCAACACTTCGTAAAGCAAAGAAGATCACTGTAAAAACATGTCTAGATAACCCCTTTGTTTTTCAGTGGAAAACCATAGATGGAGAAGATATGCATTTTATACTGCAGACTTTAGAAGAAAGGATTAAACATATTGGACTTAAAAAGATTGAGACTCCAAGAAAGAAAAAACGTTCCCTTACAAAAAAACAAATGGAAAGAAAGTGTGATGCTAGCACCAATGAACTCCCTAAAGAGGAGGAAACAGAAGGCCATCTACAAAAACCAGGATGGACTGACATAAGTGTCAGAAGACAGCTTGCTATTGGAGTTAACGAAGTTACAAAAGCATTGGAAAAAAATGAACTACTTCTCTTGCTGGTGTGCAAGTCTGCAAAACCTGCCATGATCACATCACACCTGATTCAGCTGAGTGCAAGTCGAGCCACACCAGCAGGCCAGGTTCCCCGTCTCAGTGAAACAGTTGCACCACTTCTTGGCTTAACATCCATTTTAGCACTAGGCTTTAAAAAGCAGTCTGATAAATTTACTGACGCAATAGAAGCGATAATTCCAAAGATACCAGCTTTGGAAGTGCCATGGTTTCAGTACAAAACTGAAGAATCGGTGGCTTATGCACATACAGATTCTTCAGAAAATCAGGAACCCGAGCAGCTTGCAGAGGCGCTGGGGGATGAGCTCACAAGCCAGAAACGGAAGCGTACAGAAAGCAATCAGCTCGATCTTTCAAATGTAATTTTGCAGCCTTTGAAAATCAAAAAACTTGTTCCAAATCCAAATAAGATAAAGAAACCACCCCGCAAAAAGAAAAAAACTTTTTCAGCATAACTGATTTTAGTTTAGTTCTTCATAAAAACTGATTTTTTTAATGCAGTATGGAGTAGAGCTCTAACTGAGCTATCTGTTAGGCTTTACAGTGTAAAGCACTTGAATACAAGGTGAACTTTATGTTGCGTTCAGTTGAGGTACTTTCTCCTTTAATAAAGAATATTGCTCAAACTTGGGTGCGAGTCTTTATCTGGGGGTAAATATTTCATTTGCAGAGTCTTCATTTTACAGAGTTAAAATTGGTAATGAATATGCTGAAGTAATTTAAGACATAATAAGTACATCTTGGGAATTAATGGAAGGCATTAAACACGTTTACACAGATGAATGCGCTTCAAGCAAAACAGCTTTGGGTCAAATATTATTCAAACAAATCAATACCAAAAGTGAAAGTTTATTTAAACAAAGGTCCATATCAGTATAACTTTTAAAGCTGGTTCAATGCTTGTTTCAAGTAAACAGCTGTAAAAGCACAGGCAGACTTCCCTTTTGAACTTTCATAGTTTGCTCTGCTGAACAATAAACTTGTTTTGGTCAAGAATGTGTGCAGACTTGGGTTCCATCTAGTACCTGGTGTCCAATATGCTGAAGGAAAAGCTTTATTTTCAAATACAGAACACAACCAAATTACCACTGCTGCATTTTGAAAAAAAAGACTTCTGTATGCAAACTATGAACACACATCCTGTGAGAAAATGTAAACTAACCTAAACTCAATTTGATTTCTAAACGGAGTCTAAAATTATTTCCCAGGAAATTGAGATAAGCCATATACTGTTGTATATAAAGTAGATGACAGCTATAACTGCTACGAGATTGAAAACATACCACATAACTTTTGAGTTTCCTTTAGTTTTACTGGGGATTATGAACAGTTTCCTAACAAGACAGTTGTGTTGTAGCAAGGAAAGAGAATAGTGCTGCAATTCAGACAACCAAAATCAACAGCCTAGGAGTTTACTTGGCGCTCTGTATTTTAAGCAAAAGTCAGTATGGTACTGTAGAAGAAAGCATAAAGTACCTTAACTGAATTACTTTGTTGTTCCTTAAAGATGATGGAATTTACTCCTCATAGTTTTCAGAGAGCTGCTAATCTGTATTTTGGATTTATTTAGACGTGACTTCAGTTCATGATAGCAACTACAGAGAGGCAGTAGCAATGATTCTTTAGTCATGATGCTCCCTGAAGTTTAAACAAGACTAAGACATTTAATGCCAAAATTTTTGCCCTCCCTGGCTGAGGGTGGCAAGAAAAAGTGAGGGGGTTTTTGCCTTGCTTTGTAGTCTTTCATACATGTCTTTTGTTCTGGGTTTTTGGATGGATAAAACTTTGAAGGCATGCTAGCACTTGGGTATTTTAATTCTCATGCTGGCTAACTAACATTTAAATCTGAGCCTTTAAACAGGGCATGAGGATTAGCTTTGGTAAAGAAGATAAGTGCACCACTTTGCTGCCTGCCCAGGTCTAGAACTCTCTTCAGGGATTTGTGTCACCTCCGCAGGTGATAGAAAGTTACTCTGGGAAAGAAATTCTAGATGTTTCAAAAGACTGGTGTGAAAGGTGGCTTGCCAATCTTCGTGAAACCATCTCTTAGGTTTTGAGGAGCAAGCCTAATGCACAGACAGGTTCAACTTTGGAAACAACAGAAGACCCTCTCCTATTGAGCTGCTGACAGTGGCACCCACAAGGATAATAACCTTTCATTAAGTACCTGCTTAGGAAGCGAGAGTGAGTTGCTACAATTTCCACCTCCTGAGTAACTCTCACTGCATGGGTGCGGGCTGGGACACACCTTCAAGATTCACATCCTCTTGATGCTGTGATACTTCAGCAAAGCCCTTGGGCTGAAGAGCATGGCTAGCCAAAAGGTTTGAGCACTCAACAGGGACAGAAAAGACCATGCTGGATTACACAGCTGTTGGGTAACACACAGGTTCATGAACAGAATTCTCCAGGAACTGCCCCAACACTCAGGCTCAGATGCCCGCTTCCCTCATGCTCTCTGGCCTGCTAAGTTTTCTCTCTCAGCTACAGTCCTGCACAGCTTCTACAGGAGCATGACTCTGCCCGACCTCCCCTCAGTTAACATGCAGCATGAGCCAGAAAATGAGACAGAGAAGTTTACCACTCAGATTTAGACGCAAATGGCACTGTTTTCCCAGAAGACAGGACAAGAGTGGCCACACTCCTTCATGTGCAATTACCCCAAGATTAGGGCAGAAAGCCAGGCTGCAGGAAATCCAGGTTCAAGTCTTGTCTTCTACCTGGACGTACTTGGTCCCATCATGGTCTCAATGCTTTTCCAAACAAAAGTACTGGGGAGGATTTGCCTTCCGATTTCAGAGGAGAGAGGAGAGGAGAAAAAGTGTCTGCCTACCATTTCTTCCACTTGCATTTTTTTGTGGGGAGAGAGGGCAGAGAACATGTGCATATCTTTCACCTGGCATTCAAGACCACCCATCTGGATTAGGGAGAGCTAGGCCGTGATCATTTCTTAGCAAGGAAGTAGCTTAGCCATGAGGACAGAGCTATGCCCTGCTGTCCCACTTCACGTTAGGCAGCAACTCAGTGAGGATTGCCAAGGCTCTGCCTTTAGAGCCGAAGCAGAACACACCGAGCCCCTTGGTGAACCACCTCCTCATCCCAGCAGGCTCCACTGCAAATGCCCAGCCAGGAAGGCACCTTCCTGCCTTTTGGGAATTAAGAACTTAAGTCTTCGATGGAGTTGAGATTAAATCCTTCTTGTTACCTCAGATATTACTACCATCGATTACATTTTCAGGCACTTAATTCTGCTCAGGCCTCACACAAGGAGTCCAAGCTCCCTCTACACCATCTGTTATGGCTGCTACTAGCAGACGGGTATCAGAGTGGCCAAAGTTGTAAAGCTCAACTGCACCATTAGATGTCTGAAAGATGTCCTTTGAAGCCCTTTTAAATTCATGAGGTCCCAAGCTGGTGCACACCCAGGGGTCAGACAAACCACGTTCAATCCCTTCCTTTGTTTGAAGGAGGTTGAATGCTTTAATCACAGAGCTATAACGCAATAAGGGAAAGTATTTATCACTGTCCCTAGGGCAGAATCCTTTCACCACAATTCAACAAGAAAAAGAAACCAAACCACAAACCTTTCGCACACTGGAAAAGGAGCGGAAAGAAAGAAAAACCCCACTGCTATAAGGAGGTGGGTAGGGCTAGAAGTTATGAAGAACAGACAAATTTATCTTCATCTAAATCGATGTTTTCAGGTACAGAATTCAACTTCCAGCAAAATCTGCTGTCAGAATTACAGGCATGTTTAAAAGGAAAGTTTAGACATTTGCATTTCATGAGATATTCAAGTCACATTCAAAAGATGCTCATAGCACAGAGGCTTCACTACCACAATTTGGCACTTTCAGCTAGAACAGTTTCTTACTGCAGATTTTCTCAGTGCTCACGTTACTGCAGCATCCATGAGCTGAAAGAACTGCTGTTATATCTAGCTATGATGCTACACTGGAATGCATATAAAGTGCTTCAGAAGCCGCTCTGGTTGCCGAGCATTCATGAGGGAATTAAAACAGCTCCCCCCAACAACAAAGATCAGCCCTCCTACATTTCAGGAAGCGCAGTACAGAGACTTCCAAGGACTGAGGGTAGAGCATTTCTCTTCTGCTTACCAGCCACATACATAGCAAAACTTCTTGTTCCAAAGTCAGGATAAAAACACTACCAGGAACAATTTATGAATACGTATTTACACAAGATACTTTTCATTAGAATTACAGACTTCATAGGAAATCAAAGTAGACAAAGGAATATGTGCAATTTCGCAGAAGCGTTGAAAACATTCAAACTATAAATATCCTGATAGCACTACTAAAATTCTTAGTTTTACACGCAGGCTGATGTTATTCTACTGAGTCAAAACTAAGGTTTTGTGCCACAACTGTAAATTAAGTACAGTAATGTATTATCATTCCGGCAACATAGGTAACACCTGCACTGAACAGTGCGATACTGTTAAATCAATCCACTGATCTATTGAAGATCAAAGTACAAATCTGTATTTTTATTGATTTGGCAGCGTTGCTTATGGAGAAACAAATGCACTAGTTAAACCAGTACATTGTCATACTGCTCCAGTTACAAAAACATCCAGGACTTTCATAGAGCTACAAACGTATCGTACTTCATGATTTTCCCCCAAATGATGATATCCATGTGAAGTAAATAAGCAAAGATACTCAAGTTTGTATCCTTCATTCTGTTACACTGACAAACATACACCACCACTTAATAAATAGAAATGCAGCAGTTCATCCACATAATAGCAAATATTTTTGTACCCTAATCCACCACTGAAGTTCAGTTTGTACAAAACAGTCTTTTCTACAGAGTGGAAAAAAAATACCTTCTTCTCATCAAGGTGCAAGCTAAGCTTTGAAACTTAAACGAATGTGCTTTTATTCTTTTCATGGACAATAAAAGAGTTTCATGGACCTTCTGATCTATCTGAAAATGCATAAATTTGGTCACATATGGATGTCTTCATTGTTCAGGTTTAATGGACTATTTCAGTATCACTGACGTTGTGCTTTTACTCCTCTTGAACCATACCGTTCCAAGAGTTATGGAGATCAAATTAACTCAAACGATGACCTCAGAGTTCTAGAAACATAAGTGTCCTCATTGTAATACAAGACCAACCTAAAAGGAAGAAGAAAAATACAGTATTTTAGTTCAAGTATGGCAATAAATCTAAACATCACTAGTCTTCTGCACCTCAATTATGGATCTTAAATATGGCCAATTAAAAAAGTTATTTTAAGACTTCTGCCCATTTTGCCCAGTGTAGATTAATGTACCATTATACCTAACAGAATTCAGAAGCTCTTTTTTTCTCCCTTACCTTTTCAGATTCCATGCCAGGACACCTCCAGTTGTACAAATAATACTGCAAATTTCCATCTCCAATCCCAAACTTGAGTTTTTCCAGGAATGTTTTGTTTTCCATTAAGTCTAGTGCATTGAACACATCAAATCCTTTCTGGCAACAGCAAAACATTTTTAAAATTTTATTTTTTAAAGTTTCAAATGATGCACAAACGATACTTTACACAGCAGCATACAACATCCAAGAGACTAGGCTAATTAAGTGGAAAAAAAGACAAGGGAATAAATCT